GATACCGATAGGTTCGGTAGTGACACTGTTATTCGCTCGGAGGTGCAAAGACCAACTTCAGTTGTACTCTCATAAGATGAAGCTGCTATTGGCAGTAGTAATATAGAAGGGCTTTGCCACATCAAATGTAAATATATAATGATACAATCTTAATCTATATTTAACAGTATATAACTACGAATCACTAGATATGGACAATGATGAACAGATGTCAACAACGACAAAACACCCCACGCGAATTAAATATTTCGTGAATGTCTTTTTTGTTGGCCCTCAATGTTGATGGTCCGTTAAACAATACAAGAGCAAAACAAAACAAAACCTGTATATAACTTTGATTGCTTCATCTCGATTTCTAACTATAAATACTCAGAAAAAGAGCGATAAGACAACGCTCTGTAATATCTTCCATTATCTGGAAACTTTCCTACATATCAGTCAGTGTGATACATACGTTCCGTTCCATTGTATCAGTTTACATAATCTAGAGTCAACATACTAAATCGACATTTCACCAGACTACAGGCGGTGTTTAGGTATGTTTATAGAAGCACTTAAGGTTACTTGATGACGCTTCTAGTAAATCTTGAAAAGTGCATTGTCAAGAAAGAGGTATACATGCCGATTGTGTAATGGTTTTTGTTTGTATAGTTTTTTATGACATGATTGGTTATAAATTATACCTTATCTCTTATTTATTTGAAGTGTACCTGAATGATTTGCTATATCATGCTACGAAAATACTTCATTATTCACTCAATATTTTTTTATTTTTTTATCGTAAGCCCATGTATAACATGAAATAATGTAATTTTGAAGAAACATGAAAATATTAATCCAGCTTAATTATTGCATATTACCTCGCAATAGATTTACCCAAGTGTCATGAGATGAGTTGAAATATAATGTATGTATGTTAATATTGTATTCAATGTCTTCAACTATCAAAAGTATGCTGAAAGCCATGGAGAGAGTTTATATAGGAAAAGGCTGTTGCTCAATCCTTTTGTTTAATCAATAAAATATCTTTTCCGGGGCCCAATAGGGAAAATAGAGGTAAAACCTTTAAAATTCTTCTCGTAACGTAGGGATAAAGAGATTTTATTCTAATTGGGTCAGGAGCATCCTTAGGCCAAGGGGACTCAATTTTTCTATAGGAATGACAGGATTTTGTCCAAATTTGGTATAAAGCACTCTTGGGTGAAGGGGGAACCGATTTTGTATGAATGCTGGGTCTGACCCGCCTGCGGGCAGAGAGACAGGGCCCAATAAAGGATATAGAGGAATAGCTTTAATATCCTTCTTCTTCCGTTGGGATCAAGGTATTTGGACCAAATTTGAACAGTAGCATCATATTTGGAAGGGAAATCAATTTTGTATAAATGGTTGAATTGAACCCCTGTGGCCCTAGAGGCGGATCCAATAGGGGAAACATAGCAAATTCTTCAAAATCCTTCTTCTGTAGGAATGACAGGTCATTGATTAAATTTTGGATGAAGTACCCTTGGGTGAATGGGAAGTAATTTTGTAAAAACGATGGGTCTCACCCTCTTAGGGCAGAGAGGCGGGGCCCAATAAGGGATATAAAGGAATAGCTTTACTATCCTTCTTCTGTAGGAATGACAGGATTATGTCCGTATTTGGTCTAAAGCATCCTTTGGTGAAGGGGACATACTTTTGTACCAACAATAGGTCTGATCCCACTGGGGACAGGGGGCGGGGCGCTATAGGAGAAAGATAGCCAATTCTTCGAAATCCTCCATTTCGTAATAATAATGATAATAATTGGAGGTTCTTATATACCGCTTTATCGCAACCTAGTTCACAGGTCGTCTCAAAGCGGTTCACAAATTAGTATCCGTGGTTATAGGGTTTGTTTGTTTGATTTTGTTTAACGTCCTTTTAACAGCTAAGGTCATTTAAGGACGGCCTTCCATGTGTGCAAGATGCATGCGTGTAGTGTATGTGTGTGTATTTTGGGAGACTGCGATATGTTCGTGTTTGTCTCCTTGAGATAGCGCGTAACTGATGCCGGCTTCATAGTGCTACCTCACTGAAACATACTGCCGAAGACACCCAGCAGGACGCCCCACACGGTCACATTATACTGACAACGGGCGAACCAGTCGTCCCACTCCTAATTTGCTGAGCGTTTAGCAGGAGTAGAAACTACCATTTTTAAAGACTTTGGTATATGTCTCGACCAGGTGACAGCACCCAAAGCCTTCCTCACAGGGGCGAACGCTGAACAAATGGCCAAAAGTGAGGCATTGTCAAGGGAGGCATTAGGAAGAAGAAAGTTATTTAGAAAGGAGAGAAGAGATAAGGTCCCAAATTTAGTCGCCTCTTACGATCATGCAATTGGGGGCAGCAGGTAAAATCCTTACGCCCTACCTGCAGGGTCATAGGGCCTTTGCAACCAATCAATACATTTATCAACTCCATAGGGAGCATACAGCCGGCGCTAACAGCTAGCATTCAACAATTCTAGCACTGCCCAACCACGTACTAATTTACAGCTGAGTAGACTGGAACAAACGGAGTAAAGTATCTTGCTCAAAGATACAAAACATTGCCGTGCCGTGACGCGAACATTTACTTTAGGAATGACAGGATTCTGTCCAATTGCATATAAATATAACCCCTGACTAACCATGTAATACATGTACACTTCCAGTAACATCTGGCTATTATCACTTCAATTTTGCTAACATTTCAAGGTGAGCGATACAGGCCCTCGGGGGCCTCTTGTTCAAAACTTTCTGGAGGGGTCTTTCTCAAATGGTTCCTAATTCCGCATTAGTATTTTGGATATGATTGGAAAACCAAGATGACTGGCAGGTGGTCGATTTGAAATCAGGAGTAAAAGTTTTTTATCTCTATCGCTCAAAAAGTGTTGAGGGATCATTCCCAAATTTAACAAATGGGTACCTCTTGTTCCCAGTTATGCATATCAAGGTATGTCGGGCGGCCATCTTGTTACAGTTTAATTTTGGTATCGCTATTTCTCATAATTTACTGGAGGAACTTTCCAAAATGTGCATGTTCCCGCTTGGTTGATGTGTTATGTGTTGCCCTAGCTACATAATATGTTTAATTTTGGTTTGGTTTAGTATTGTTTAACGTCCTATCAACAGCTTTGTGTGCAAGATTCAAGCGTGAAGTGTATGCGTTTGTGTTTACGGAGGCTGCGATATGTTCGTGTTTTTCTCCTTGTGATAGCGCGGAACTGATGCTGACTTTTATAGTGCTACCTCACTGAAACATACTGCCGAAGAGACCCACTAGGACACCCCACCCGGTCACATTATACTGACAACGGGCGAACCAGTCGTCCCATTCCTAAATACTCTCATTCACCAAAGATGATTCTGACTAAGTTTGAGTAATTTTCTGCTGAAAATGGATAAAATATACCCAAAAGTGTTATTTCCCTCTATAAACTGTAGTAAACTTTACCCCCTCCCCAAGGGAGAACGGTTAGCTCGGGGGTCCTGAAATTTACGATTTAAATAAAGCCCCTGATGATTTTCTTTCCATGCAGAGAAAATGAATGTAGTTCCTCTGAGTCTGGAGGAGAACATTTTGAAAATATTGGTTGATTTCCCTTTGGGGCCCCGCCCTGGCCCCTAGGGTTGGGGTAGGAATTTCAATTTGAAACCATCTTCCTCCAAGGATAATTCTCACCAAGTAGAAATAATTTCCTACAGAAAGTTGTCAAAATATACCCAAAAGTGTTATTTCCCTATAAAAACTATAGTAAACTTTACCCCCTCCCCAAGGGAGAACGAATAGCTCGGGGGTCCTGAAATTTAAAATTTAAATAAAGCCCCTGATGATCTTTCTTTCCATGCAGAGAATATGACTGTAGTACCTCTGGGTCTGGAGAAGAGGATTTTTGAAATATTGGTTAATTTTCCCTTTGGGGCCCCACCCTGACCCCAGGGGTTGGGGTAGGAATCTCAATTTTACAATTTAAACCATCTTTCTCCAAGGATAATTCTCGCCAAGTAAAAATAATTTCCTACAGAAAGTTGTCAAAATATACCCAAAAGTGCTATTTCCCTATATAAACTATAGTAAACTTTATCCCTCCCCAAGGGGGGAACGGATAGCTCGGGGGTCCTGAAATTTACAATTTAAATAACGCCCCTGATGATCTTTCTTTGTATGCACTGCAATTCAATGTAGTTCCTCTGAGTCTGGATAAGAAGATTTTTGAAATATTGGTTAATTTTCCCTTTGGGGCCCCGCCCTGGCCCCATGGGTTGGGGTAGGAATCCCTATTTTAAATTTTGTAGTTTCATCTACCGAGCATGATTCTGACCATGTTTGAAAAAAATCTATCAACTGGTTCTTGAGAAGAAGTTCAAAATGTAAAAAGTTAAAGCACGACGACGACGGACGGAAAGCGATTAGAACTGGTCACTTGGAAATGTCTTGCAGACAATGGATCAGTAGCTATCATGCGTTCATGTATTGTCAATGCAAACTTCTGGTGTCAATGGTCTTTGTCATCCTTGACAGGGGTCTACTAAAATATTCAACAGGTTTACCCTATTCATAAACAATATACTTAGGGCCCATTTTAGTTGTTCCGTGTAGCTTGACATAATTAAGAATTAAACTTTATTTTGCAACAATTATGAAACAAGTTATATACTTTTTTTATTAATCACTCTTGTTGGCCCGGATGATAGCGATCATGAGGTGTTAATATGGCCTTATCAATGGTAGGTTTAAATATCAGTTTTTCATTAAGCAATCATGTTAAAAACGACACTGTTTGAAGTACTCCGCCTGTTTCGCGGAAACATTTAAAACCAGCTCAGACATGTTCCATACAGCGGTTCTGAGAACACTTTTGTCTGTGTGTGACCTTCAGTATTTTGAATCGTCCTATGGTTACAGGTGGCATTAATTGCATTGGCTTAAATTCTAAGCAATCTCTGTCGTCACGTCTGTATATAAACCTCTGTCCTGTGTAGCATGCGTTTGTAGCCTAATACTGACCGTCGAGGCTATACTAGAGGACTTACAACCTGTCAGTTATCTCTGTCAACAACGTTATACTGCGGATAGTGTAATTGTAAGTAGCAGATTTTTAATTAATTAATTTGTTTACCAAATTTTGACAATTAATGTAAACGAATTATTAGGTAGTATGAACGTTATGTTTTATACACGGATAGTGTACGTATTCAATGTGTTGCAATGTCTTAAGACCGACTGGTTCCTTCGTTAAGCTATGACTGGATGACTATTTGAATTGATTTCCTGTACAACGATGTGTCACTCAACTGCGGGACGTTCCGCATAGCGATAAAGTGTGTATACACACTATCAAATAAGTTACTGGTTGGGTGTAGACCTTGCCTTCCTTCCATCTATATCGTGGTTCGTACAGATGACTTAATTTGAGTTTCCGTTGAGAAGCTCTGTTCATGTTTTGAGCTTTCCTAGATATATACAATAACTATTGACCCACGTATATGAATATGGTTTCGTATTTATACTTAGATCTTTCTTGATTTAGGTAAGTTGTTATAATTAATCCAGATGTACATGTAGCAATAATGGACATACATGTACAAAAAAAAAAGTTTTGAAACTACCTTTATCGACATGTGTGTAGATATACGGTCATATTCATGTACTTACTGAGCACGAAGGTAAATACTAGATAAAGGAACCTAACCTGCTACCAGTTACCTGTCAATTACCAGGTAACGGGTACATTTTTGTGTCACGTCTTACCTATGAAGGAGTTGTGGAATTTCCACACCAGCCTTACAGGCAAAAATTAATACAGAAAAGGTCCAATTTGTGTTTGATTATTGTCAAATTACCGATGAACCCTAATAAGCGATAAATTCAATATTTTTCACTATAAGTTTGTGCAATGTTACTGTACCTGAAAGTACAACCTCATTTTTGACAGTTTTGCAGTCATTTAAATTTTGTGTAACATGCATTGAAGAGTTAGAAAAAGTGCAAAAATACTGATTTGTTATTATATATGTATATGACGTACCTTAATTCAAATTGAGACTTCCGCATTATTTTGATTTCGTAACATGGGTCGACCGATCTTACTTTGTTGCACATATGTTCGCGTGGAATTCCATAACGGTGCGATCGAGTATTAAATCGCCCAGTCCTACACACTATGTGCGGACGATATGTCGATGGTATACGAAAATACGGATGAACAAACGATATACAAATTTTAATCTGCATAACAATATACTGTGAAATCACTGTTATTCGTTGGATTTTTTATATCGTTAATTTTGTGGGTAATTTGCATTCACGAATTCATGTCAACAAAGTAATTTCAAGTTTGGTATACAGCAGTTTTCCGTTTGAGCTGGTTATCGTAATCCACGAATGCAGGTGTCTACGAAATGGTGTTTTGTCGGACACCACGAAATTTGGTCCGCGCAAAAATATGTCATTTACAGTAATATAAATGTTTAACTCATTCAATGGTATAGGCGTTATTATATAAATATGATCAAAAACGTAATGTTATTTCAATTTCATTGTTATTTAAGGTAAAATGAAATAATGCTATATTACAAATTACACAACTTTTTTTCCAACCACAGCTATACAAAATGGAAAAAAACTAATATTAACCAAATCTTTTTATTGAGTTAACTATGGTATTCCTTAACATTTTCTTCATATTGTTTGGTAAGTCTTTTAGAAACAACTGACCAGTGAAGCACAAAGGTATAAAATATGTAAGTTGGCAATATATATAAAATCAAAGTAGATTCGGATTCGCTGTATTAATCGTATGTCCACTGAGCCATTTTACATGTACGAACACTAACCTAATTAAAGAATGATCAAGCTTCTATAAATCTGAATATGCCGTTTAACAACTTGTGTTTTTACTCAGTCACAGCGGTTAAAGAATACACATATAAGTTATAAAAATATGCAAATAATTTTAATTTAGTAGTTGCATATAATTTAAATTTAGTAGTTTACTTGTAAAAATAAAGGCAGAATCACATTGCTATTGAACGTAAAGGGAAGAAAGATTTTTAAAGGTTTCAGGTTACATTCGATACATTTCACAATTGCATAATGATCTAAAAATAGTACAATTGTTGTCTATCTTTAGAAAATCACGAGTGGAAATTCCGTTGCTATTTAAAGCAAATCTTTTAATGGCAGACAATCAATAACAAGAGGCCCACAGGCCTTAATGGTCACCTGAGTCCTACAGTATTTATTTTTTGTTGTTGAAATATGTACCAATTTGAGTAAAAAATTGTTAAGTATAACGTTAACTTAAGTTTGTCAGGACCATGAGCTGTTCATTCCTGGACCGAATTTCTGATCGACCCGAAAAATAACAACACTTTGTCAGGACCATGAGTCGATCATTCCTACAAAGTTTCAGCTCATTCGGCCTATTAGAACTTGACTTTTAAGTTTGAAGTAGTTTTTCAAAATGGCGGCCGTAGTAGGAATATTGGATTTCTGATCGACCCTAAAATAACAACACTTTGACAGGACAATAGGTGGATCATTCCTACTAAGTTACAGTTCAATCGACCTAACAGAAATAGTTTTTCAAAGTGGCGGCCGTTTCAGCCATATTGAATTTCTGATAGACCCGAAAAATATTAACACTTTGTCATGACCATGAGTCGATCATTCCTACAATGTTTCAGTTTAATCGGCGCATTACAACTTGACTTTAAGTATGACATGATTTTTCCAAATGACGGCTGTGTCGGCCATATTGGATTTCTAATCGACACGCAAAATAACAACACTTTGTCAGGACCATAAGTCGATCATTCATACAAAGTTTCAGTTCAATTGGCCTAGCGGAACTTGACTTTAAGTTTGAAAGAGTTTTTCAAAATGGCGGCTGTGGCGGCCATATTGAATTTCTGATCGACCCGAAAAATAACAACACTTTGTCAGGACCATGAGTCGATCATTCTTATTAAGTTTTAAGTTCAATCGGCATAGTAGAACTTGACTTTAAGTTTGAAATAGTTTTTCCAAATGACGGCTGTGTCGGCCATATTGGATTTCTGATCCTCAATAATTCTTCTCGTTTTGTACCAATTGATGGATCTTAACCGAATTTTGTCTAGAACATCTTTGGGCAAGAAGACTCAATTTTTGTATTAATTGAGGATGTGACACAGGGGTGAGCCCTTATAGACGTTCTGCAACTATCCCGTTTGTCTTCCTGGATCTGTGTCGAAAGCGTCGGGTCACAGGTCAAGTGGTTAAAGTTGTTGCATGATCACATAGGTAACGCATGAAACTGATGCATTTAAGCTCTTCTTCTTTCTGCTTAGATTATATGACATCTAGTTTTGCAAAATCCATTTCTTGCCTACGTTAACAATAGATAATCGTATTAATATCTGATACAATTTGGCAGTTGATTTCAAAGAAGTAGGTCTGTCATGTCATTTGTCAATCAAGTGTATCAAAGTGTGATATCAGCTGTCGTTCAGTTCGATACATCGCAGCCGATTCATACAATTTTGTGGCAGGTATGTTCTATATAAACAGTTCTTTACAACAGACACCAATTTTTATTTCAATCAATCAGATTTAAATTAAAACAAAACTTTGACAATATTTGTTAATTGGTCATATAAATATAAATATAGTTGAATAGTTTATTAATATTAATAATAATAATAATAAATTCTTTTATTTAGACAGGGTAACATATTTAGACCCTCGCCTAGTTTACAATATGGCCCTGTGAAAGACAAATATATACAATGGACAACAACACACTTTAAACTTTTACACAACATAACTTACATGGAAACAAAATAAATAAAGCACTTTAGTAAAATAATTCTTACACCAAGGACATTAAAATGAACACATATTAACTATAAAATATGAATGGAAATTTAATAATACATAAACTGTAGGGATAAATCAAAGGATAAAGTTGAAATACAACTGTGGCTTTTTGACCGACAAATATATCAGTGAGCTTTTGCGAATTCATATTGCACTATGTTGTTTAGTTGCTAAGATATGACTTTTTAAAAGACAGAAGGCTTGTAGCGTTTCGTGTCTCTTCAGTAAATAAAAGAGCGCTTATAAAATGTTGTTCTGCATTTGGGAATATAGAGTTTCTTCGATGTTAAAGAACAGGTAGTCATCGTTGAAACCTGGCTGACATAAGTGAATACATTTTGCTTTAAAAAACCAGGAGCCTCATTATTGAGGATTTTGTAGGTTAATACATATTTCCTGAAATTATAAAAATCAAGTATAGGCATCCAGTTCAGATTCTTGAAGAGTATGGAAGTTGGAGTTAAAATATATTTTACATTTAAAATAACTTTCGCAGCTCTTTTTTGAAGTTTAAAAATTCTCTCTGTCAGTGATAAGTTTGAAGGATTACTCCATACTGAAAAACAATACATAACATGTGGTAAAACGATAGCGGTGTATACTTTTTTGGACACCTCTGCCGGCATTAATTTTCTGATACGTTTTAAAAACTTCAATCTTCTTTGACAATTTCTTACAGGCGTTTTCAATGTGGTTGTTCCAAGATAAGAAACTATCAATAAAATTCCAAGCAGTTTGGCACAATGGACAGTTTCAATGATAACATCGTCTACTTTAATGCACAATTTTCTAAGTTTTGAGAGCTTTTGGGAAGAACCAATTAGCATACAATGAGTTTTTGTAAGGTTAAGACTCATTTTGTTTTCGGTCATCCACCTACATGAAAAATGAAGGTCCTCACTGAATTTTCTCTCAACGCCATTAACCGACTCACCTTTAACACTCTGTGAGGTGTCGTCAGCATACATTGTCACTGATGATTCATATGAAATATGAAAAATTAAGGTCCCAGTATCGAACCTTGGGGTTCACCAATATTTGTATTTTTGAAGGACGATAATACACCTTTAAAATTGATAGCTTGCACTATCTTGTCAGATAGATACGATCTGAAAAATGTCATTGATTGTTCGGAGACACCGTAAGCCTTGAGTTTAAGTAGCAACACTTCGTGTTTGATAAAAAAAAAGTGTGAACCAGGCTGACAAGAGTTTCCTATGATCACAACACTCAGACTTTTGACGAATTGGTGTACATGTGTAGTGCAGACATCTGTCAGTCAAAATTGCAAAAGTCTTGTTTTTGGACCAGGAAATTGTTTAAGACATAAAGCCTAGAATTGTAGGTCACAATCAAATGCAAGATTTAAGCATAAATGCATCATTTAACTCTGGTTATAAAACAATTTCTACTTGAACTTAAATTTAATAAAATAATAAGTTACTAAATTATTGAAACCCAAAACATTCCCGTTAATTTATGGTGCATTGGCCACTTGTTTTTGTGAGAAATGTTCTGGTGTATAACAGAATGTCTTTAAAAGATGATGATGATGATACATGTGTGTATGTGGATATGAGCGTATGTTATGAAGTAGATCAAGGTCACTTTAGTTCTCAAACTTATCACCTTAATACCATGACTGTAGGCCTGTCCATTCTTCTTCAGAAGTCGTTTCAAGATAAAGGTGACGGACCACAGACGCCGCACCATGGCATAAGCTCACTAGCTCGTCGGGCAGGTGAGCTAAAAGTACTTAAAAAAATATGAATATCTCTATTGTTTCAAAGTTTTAACTTTTGTGAACATTTTTTTTTAATTCTTTATTCTAGAATCATGTCGCTAGTACAAGTTCAAAGCAGAGGTGCTGATAGAAGTGCATGTAAACGTCAGCATTCATCAAGACGTATAGACGAATATACAGGTACGTTGTTGTTATTGTGTTAAGACAAATGCCTTATTACAGTATGAAATAAATTAGAAAGGTTGGTTCGTGGTTGGTGGTATTTCAGGGTTTTAACGTCCTCTCAAAAGCAATAGTCATTTAAAAACGTGTCTCCATGATGTCTTCTGCAAAGGATATATGGAAGAGACCAAAATTTCCTTGCCCCATTGCAACATTTAGGATCTTCTTAGTTTCAATTCTTTTCTGTCTTCGTTCTTTCTATTACTTTCTGTTCTGTCTACATATATACCCGTCCTCATATCACCCATAGTGGAGAGGACATAAATCCAAACAAACAAAAAACAAGGCTATTATCCGTAAAACTGAACGTTAAGCAAGGAACTATCCTTTTTATGGAGTTTGGTATGTCCCGGCTTGAGGACAGCCCATCCCGATCCCTTCCTCAAATTGGCAAACGTTCAACATCAAAGCAAAAAGGGTGGTTTAATTTGGTTTAGTTACAACCACACATTACCCATTCTTATTTATTGAAACGCGAGGACCAATCCCAAGTTGTAGCATGTCACGAATTATTTACTGTAGAGTACTTTTTATTAGATTGTATTGATTTTCAGCCAACACGAGGCATTGTTATAGCAATATAACAAAACTGTCATCGAAACGGTGCAATTCACAAAAATTCTAACCTACCTAAAAACTGTTGATCTATTCAAAATTGTTAGCCGACCTTAGTGAACTTATGCCGTTGTGAGTCGTCTGTAATCCGGCGTCAACTTTTTTTACTTTAAACAACTTCTCAGTATCCAACATGCCTAGGGTGATAATATTTGGACAGAAGCATGCTGGGATAAAAGGCTTACAAACTTGATCAAAGACCTTAACTCATATTCAAGGTCACAGGGGTCAAATATGTTTAAAACCTTTAACAGGTTCTTCTGAATAACCCATAGGCCTAGGTGGATGATATTTAGCTAGTAGCATGCTGGGATGAAAGGCAGGTATTTTCTTTGTTACTGTAATTTGGTCCATTTTTAAGTTTACAATTAATATAAAGTGAGCGATTAAGGCCCATTTGCCCTCTTGTTTAACTAACCAAAGTTTTTTTTTGACTTTCAAGTTGTCAATTGTCTCTTTTTGTTTCGTTTGATGTCGTTTCCTTTTGTGTTTTTTATCTACCTTTTATTGGACCTAAACACCTCTACTGTGTTGATGGGTCGTTGACTCAATAACTGAATAAACAGGAAGTGTCTTTATACACAGGAAGCTAAAAACAAAACAATCTATGTTTGCCCGTGGTGGGGCCCTTAAGACCCCAACATTTTGGTTTTAATTTTAATGATACTTTCAAAATACTTGCCATTAAGTTCCCGTTAGCCAAATACCCAAACACAACAAATTTCAGCTAAATTGTATAATATCAAAATTTTGACCGCTCAGAGGCCACAATTCCGTAACCATTACAACCCAAATATACGAAAGACCCTACGTTGAATTAAGTGTACCCAATAACCCCTAAAAACCAATTTTTGATCAAAATCCGAAAACATCAAAGATGATTTTTTTTAAATTTACATTTTTCTTCTTTTTTGTGTGTGCCACTTTTGGGACCCCTTAGCCCCTCTATTTGAACATATATAAATCCCCATGCTATGCTGATCATATGTGGCAAGTTACATCAAAGTTAGCCAAGAAGTGTTTGAGAAGAAGTCGAAAATGTTAAATGTTAATGCACGATGACAGACGAAGACTTCTATTACAATAGGTCACCATGACCAATGGTCAGGAGACCTAAAAAGGTCCTAATGCCTAATGGAAATTATCAAGTAAAAAGACCTCTGTATCAAAATATGGTACAACGATCAATTCCAAGTAAAACACATATACTCTCTCTTGAAGACAGAAGCACGCGTTTCTCAATCATTGGTTTAGTTTGGTTAAATTTTGCGTGAGTGTATGCAGGACACGGGGTATGTTGGAGTGCTTGCCTCCTTGTGATAGCGCAGATCTCATGCCGACTTTATAGTGTTATCTCACTGAAACGTCATGCAAAAGGCAACAAACACAGCATTACGTTTGTTTGTTTGTTTGTTTGATTTTGTTTAACGTCCTATTAACAGCTAAGGTCATTTAAGGACGTCCTCCCCTGTGTGCAAGATGCATGCGTGTAGTGTATGTGTGTGTATTTTGGGAGGCTGCAATATGTTCGTGTTTGTCTTCTTGTAATAGCGCGGAACTGATGCCGACTTTATAGTGCTATCTCACTGAAACATACTGCCAAAGACACCCAGCAGGACGCCTCACCCGGTCACATTATACTGACAACGGGCGAACCAGTCGTCCGACTCCTTATTTGCTGAGCGTTAAGCAGGAGTAGAAACTGCCATTTTTAAAGACTTTGGTATGTCTCGGCCAGGGGACAGAACCCAAAGCCTTCCTCACAGGGGCGAACGCTCAACAAATGGCCAAAAGTGAGGCATTGTCAAGGGAGACATTAGGAAAAAGAAAGTTATTTAGAAAGGAGAGAAGAGATAAGGTCCCAAATTTAGTCGCCTCTTACGATCATGCAATTGGGGGCAGCAGGTACAATTCTTACGCCCTACCTGCATTACGCCCTGTTACATTATACTGACAACGGTCATCATCATCATCATCATTCATAAACGTCTATGAGCAATGTCGCATCATGTATACACATTGACAAGCATCATTCTTATCCTCATCATTATCGGAGCATCATCCCCATCAGCTCTACACATTGACTGACATCACTATCGTCCATTATATACACATTGACGAACAATGTCATAATCATTTATACACAATGACGAACATCATCATCATCCTATCTACAGCTATGGTCATTTAAGGACGGCCTCTTCTGTGTGATGCATGCGTGTAGTGTATGCGTGTGTATTTTGGGAGACTGCGATATGTCATTTTTGTCTCCTTGTAAAAGCGCGAAACTGATGCCGACGTTATAGTGCTACCTCACTGAAACATACTGCCGAAGACACCCAGCAGATCACCCCATCCGTTAACATTATACTGGCAACGGCTGCGATATGTTCGTGTGTGTCTCCTTGTGATAGCGCAGAACTGATGAATTCAATATCAAAAAAATATGCCTGACAGTATTTCCTTTCCCGGTTTATTTCAAAATCGTTGTTGATATAGCACAGCAGAGGAAAAAGGTTAAAAAGCTTATCAAAATAGTCAAAAGTCGCAGACAACTGTTAACTCACGCACTACACTATTCATCCTTCTTTCAAAGTACTGTTTGCATAGCCATGCAAACAGGCGGAATTGAAAATAACCGGAAATAGTACAGTTATATGCTGATATCAAATTATTTGGATGTATTCAAACGAATATGACATGAAACGTAAACTTTTTAATATCAACAACAACAAAAATTGACTCAAAATTTTTGAATCGACAGAACAGAAAAACAAGAGGCCCACAGGGCCTGTTTAGCTCACTTGAAAATTGAGCAGTCATAGCAAAATATTCTCATTAAATATTATACTGTACTGAAAATATTTCACTGGCAAACTATGTCGGCACCATCTGTTGAAACTACCAGCCAAATATAATTATATGATTCTGTGCTTTTTGGTTCTTCTTCAGAAGTTGTTTGAATTTTTTTTCCATTTGACCTTGTAAGTAGGTCAAGGTAATTTTCCTTCTCAAACTTTGTTGGCTCTATCCCAATAAGCTACCAACCAAATCTTATGAATTCATTCCTTTTCTTTCAACAGAACAAAAGGTTTAAAATGTTGTTGACCTCTGTCACCTTTAACATAGGTTAAGGTCGTTTTCATTTGCAAACTTTGGATAGCTCTATCCCAAGAAGTCACCAGCCAAATACTATGATTCTATGCCTTTCGATTATTCATAAGAAGTCGTTTGATGTCTTTGACATATTTGACCCCTGTAAACCTGAAAGTAGGTCAAGGTCATTTTCACTCGAAAACTTTGTCAGGTCAACCCCAAGAAGCTACCAGCCAAATATTAAGATGCTTAACCTTTCAGTTCTTAAGAAGTCGTTTGAAACGTTTGACATATTTGACCGCTGTGACCTAAAAGCAGGTCAAGGTCATTGTCGTTCTTAAATGTTGGGCTCCTACCAACGAAGCTTTCAGCAAAATATCAGGACTCTATGCCTGACCGTTCTTCAGGAGAAGTTATTTAAAGGAAAAGTTGACGGACGACTACGGACGACGAACAGACGACGGACGCTGCACCATGGCATACGCTCAATTGCCCTTCGGGCAGGTGAGCTAAAAACGTTACCCGTCTTACGTGGAGTGTTACATTATCATACAGAACTGCCCTCCTAATACAAAGACATAACACTGACACATCATGAACTACAGTCATATACCGAACTCACACTCAAATATAAGACTTATCACACAATTCTGTAGAATCTGTGTCCTAGTTTCTTAAATTGTTGTCATCTGCAAGATAATGTTCATCAGCTCTGTTTCGTATGCCAGTCTTCGCTTCTTTTCGTTGGTTAAAACAGCGAATAATTCTCCGTCCACACTGTAAGTATGTTTGACACTTTTTAGTTTGTAAGCTTCCTTTAGTTATTCTTAATTCATTCTTGTTAAATCCGCGAATGCGATTTGTCCTTTTCCATTCAATTTACGTCTGTTATTGATGATCTTGGTATTTTCCTCCTGTGGGTCATTTTACAGATGATCGTTTGTTGCCTGCTTCTTTCAAATCACCCGAGTTTATGCGCAATGTCTATTTCGTTGCTCTGCACATCCACCTCCAACGAATCCTTCACAAATGTCACTATATTTTCTACACATTCTTTACTGTTTCTCTCTCCTTTCTATATTTATTTTTGTACACTAGTCCACTATTCATACTTTCTGATTTTCTGTCTCTTTCTTCTAATTTGTCCACTTTTTATTTCAGTAAGTCGTTTTCTTTCTCGAAGTCAAAAAGACTTCCTTCGAGCTGATCAACGACCACACTGTTTTCCTCCCTGATGTCATCTCAATCTGTCTGTCCATGATCTTATCCATGTTCGACTTGGTCACAAGAGTCGAAATCATCTCAAAAAGTTCATTAATCCTGTCTCTCCCTGAGGATTAGCTTGAAAACTCCTGGTTTTTGTTCCTTGTCTTACCAACACCGACACTGGTTCTCGAACCTGGCATGATTGTATAGTCCACTACAGAATATATATATAAGTTATATCTGTACAGGTAAGTCGTACACACACTAGGCGCGCATTAACAGATGGCACGTACAAGTGGTCTGTCCATTGTCAACATTTTGTATTTCAGTTACATAAAAAATGCAAAATTTTCCTTGGAAAGTCTTGTTGAATATCTTATGCCATATCTCAAAAACTCAGATTTCACTATTCCGTTGCGGTATATTAAATTCGTTCCAGCAATAAGTTTATTTTTTTCTCACAGGAACTGGTTCAAATGTTGCAAAAGACATTGCTTCTACCGTAAGTATATTTATCATTTTACAACAGTTTCTGTGATTCCTTATTACACTACACACCGCGTGGAGGCATACGACCCCCATGTTTCGCGTTGTCGTTCTATAGCGTGGAGAGGAGGGATAAAAAAGGTCAACTTCAGTCATCACCGTGGAGAATATCCCATCCACTCTCCCACGGCTATACACGTTTGCTGTGAACGTGAAATGAGCGTGGAGCGATAGGCGAGCGAATTACATTTTCCTTTAGAGTTATCTGATCTCAACGTTTCACCAGTACGCTATTCCTCCTGCATGGTTGACCGTGACTTTACGTTACAACTTTATACCGCGTGGAGGAAACTTGGCTATACATATTTATGTACATGCGGGGAAGTAAACGTATAAAATACATTTTAATTAGAGTTGCACTCCTTGATCCTTGATTAAGACACGTGACTGCACACTAGCAGGGTTAATATAAGCACGTGTTTTGTCATTGAATTTACGTAACTACAGTATACATGTACACAAACGCTTTGTCTTAGATATATGTGCCCCAAACCACAGTTTATTTCACTGATAAAGCATCGCACTTCAACCGTCTACAAACAGTCGCGATGGAAGTGGAAGGTTAGTACGGCAACTGACATTACTTATCTTTCACCTAACGTGTCTTTTACTAAGCGAGTTCTCTATTGCCAAGGTAAGCTGTCATAAATATGTCTAACCCCCACCCCCCAACGATTGATTGACCGAATACGATCTTTATGGTACATAAATGGCGCTCTAGATGGAATGCATTCACAATTCAATACTGAATTGACTGAATTTGTCTGTCAAAGTCAATCACATATCAAATGAACTGTTATAAAGATTTCATCAGTCTTTGCTAGATATACCGTTCCAAGATTAAACGGCTTCAATGTACTGTAGTTCAAGTCGAATTTAAAAAAAAGTAACATAAAAAAGCAAACTATTAAGTCGCGTCCTGAAATCGTCATACTGTACAGTCCTTTTCTGTAATCGTCACACTGTAACGTCCCGACCTGTTATCGTCACACTGTACAGCCCCGTCCTGTAATCGTCACACCGAACAGCCCCGTCCCATAAACGTCTCACTGTGCAGTTGTGTCCTGTAATCGTTACACTGTACAACCCCTTCCTGTAATCATCAAACTATACAGTCCCGTCCTGCATTCGTCACACTGTACACTCCTGGTCTGTAATCGTCTCACTGTATAGCCCCGTCCTGTAATTGTCACACTGTACATACCCCCGTCCTGTAAGCGTCACTCTGTAAAGCCCCGTCCTGTAATCGTCACAATGTACAATCCCGTCCTGTAATCGTCACACTGTTAAGCCCCGTCCTGTTATCGCCACACTCAATAGCCCCGTCATGTAATCGTCACACTGTACATATCCCCGTCCACTAATCGTCACACTGTATAGCCCCGTCCTGTAATCGACACACTGTACATATCCCCGTCCTGTAATCGTCACACTGTATAGCACCGTCCTGTAACCGTCTCAATCTAGTCCCATTCTGTAATTGTCACAATATACAGTCCCGTCCTGGAATCGTCACACTGTACAGCCCCATCCTGTAATCGTCACAATCTAGTCCCATTCTGTAATTGTCACAATATACAATCCCGTCCTGGAATCGTCACACTGTACAGCCCCGTCCTGTAATCGTCACACTGTATAGCCTCCTTCCTGTAATCGTTATACTGTACAATCGCGGTCTGTAATCGTCACACAGTATAGCCCCGTCCTATAATCGTCCCACTGTACAGCCCCGTCCTGTAATCGTCACAATGTACAGTTCCGTCCTCTAAACGTCACACTGTGCAGTCATGTCCTGTAATAGTCACATAATATAGCCCCGTCCTCCAATCGTCACACTGTATAGCCCTGTCCTGTAAACGTCACTCTGTGCAGTCCTCTCCTGTAAACGTCACTCTGTGCAGTCCTGTCCTGTAAACGTCACTCTGTGCAGTCCTGTCCTATAAACGTCATACTGTACATCCCCGTCATGTTATCGTTACGCTGTACAGTCCCGTCCTGTAATCGTCACACTGTACAGCCCCGTCTTGTAATCGTCACACTGTACAATCCCGTCCTGTACTCCTCACACTGTACATATCCCCGTCCTGTAAACGTCACTCTGGTTAGCCCCGTCCTGTAATCGTCACAATATCCAGTACCAATAAACAAAAGGTCTAGGATGGTGATATTTGGCTAGTGGCATGCTTAGATGAAGGGCTATAACGTTTGGTCAATGACATGACCTTGTTCAACTTTCTAGGTCACAGGGGTCAAATGTTTAAAAAAAAAAACAGGTTCTTTTGAATGACTTATATTTATTGATACTGATGTTTTGCCTGTAGCTTTATTTTAGATCACCTTTAAGGCTAAAAGTGGGAGATTAATACCAGGTGAGCGATGCAGGTCTATTGGGCCCCTTGTTTTGTTTTACATCCTATTAACAGCTAAGGTCATTTAAGGACGTGCCTATATGTGTGTCATGAAAGCGTGCATGTGTACCGAAGACCCAGAATGTTCGTGTACTTGCCTCCTTATAATAGCGCGGATCTGTTTGATCAGCGGTCGATAAGTCAGGACAAGCATGCGTAGTCGGCAGACATTAAACGGCCGATACATGTACATAGCCGATTGAAAAAGATGATCGATACGATTCCACCGCTTTAGCCGAAAAATATAAACGCAATACGGACGATTACAAGTTGTGAGCCCGACTATTCCCATGTGGATAATTGACCATAATTATAACTGTTATTTGTATATCGTGTTAGACAAACTCTTCTCCGATAGTGGTTTATATTATCTGGTAACCTTTGTTGTTAGATTCATTACTAATTAATCTAGATCGGACATGGTCTACTCCGTTTCGGTACCATCCCTCTAGCTTAAGGATACCATGCACCAAACATATTTTTTTAGAGTTTCTTGTCTACGTATTACCGTAAATCACCAACAAGATACATGTATTTATTTTTGTATTTGTTCATTTAGATTAACGGAGGAAAGAAAAGGCGTCATAACAATGTCCTGGATACAGACTACAAAGCAACAAGTAAATCAAAATCTGGCAAGTACATGTATCATTATATTATATATTATTTTGACAAATATTGTTCTATATTTGTATCTTTAGGGCACATGGTTCCGAGGTTGTGAATTATTCAGGAAACTGCTTGATTAGATTTTTTGAAAAGCCCTATTGTCTTTAGGTCACCTGTACGAATGGCAAGTGAGCTTATGTCATGGTGCGTCACCCATGAAAGCTTCGTTGGTAGGAGCTTGATAAAGTTTGAGAATGAAAATGACCTTGACTTACTTTCAAGGCCACATGAGTCTAATGTGTCAAACACTTGAAACGACTTCTTCTGAAGAACTGAAAGGTATAGAATCTTCATATTTGACTGGTGACTTCTTGAGATAGAACCCGACAAAGTTTGAGAATGAAAATTACCTTGACCTAGGTCACAGGTCACAGGGGTCAAATATGTCAAACAACCTTTTCTGAAGAACTGAAAGGTATAGAATCTGGTAGCTTCCTGTGAAAGAGCTCGACGAAGTTTGAAAATGAAAATAACCTAGATCTCCGGATAAGGTCACAGGGGTCAAATATGTCAAACAACTTCTGAAGAAGAACTGAAAGGTATGGAATCTTCAACTCTTGCTGGTAACTTCCTGTGAAAGAGCAAGACGAAGTTTGAAAATGAAAATAACTTAGATCTCCGTATAAGGTCACAGGGGTAAAATATGTCAAACAACTTCTGAAGAAGAACCAAAAAGTATAGAATCATATAACAAGAGTACCGCGGGGCGGAACAATATACGCCCGTAGAATGCCATATACTTTCTTATATTGAAATAATAATCAAATACTGAAATGAACAAAGGTAAAGAACTTTTGCAAAAATCGTCGAATCAAAATTCTATTAAGAAGACACAACTTCATATCATGATGATAATGTATACCAAGTTTCAAAGAGATCCGTTGAAAAATGTAGGAGGAGATTGCCGGACAGAAATCAAATACTGAAATAAACAAAGGGCAATTACTTTTGCAAATAATGTCGAATCGCAATTCTTTTCAAGGAAACACAACAACATCTCATAATTATTTAACCTTCTAAGTTTAAAAAAATCAGTCAAAAATGTAGGAGGAGATCTCCGAACAATAAATCAGATACCGAAATGAACAAAGGGCGATAACTTTTGGAAAAAAATTAGAATCAAAATTCTTTAAGGGGGACCCAACTTCATATCATGATTATAATGTATACCAAGTTTCAAAGTGATCGGTCGAAAAATGTAGGAGGAGATTGCCGGACAAACAAAAGTTTACGCCGGACGGACGGACAAACCCATACCATAATACTCCCGTCAAATTTGACGGGCGTATACTAATATTTGGCTGGTAGATTCAACAGATGAAGTCAACAGAATTTGCGAGTAAATTATTTATAGTACAGGATATTTAATGGGAAGATTTTTCTTTGACAACTTAAATATACAGGCCCTCTTGTTGTTATGTTTTATTATTAGCTTGTCGGGCCCGAGGAGCAGAGTAAGGCTTATGCCATGGCGATTCGCCCTTCATCAAGAATTTTGTTAAACATCTTCTATTCAGTAACCAACAGGCCTATGTTGAGGAAATTTTGCTAAAATCAAGATGGGATGATGGGCTATCGAATGCCCAGGATGACGATATCTGGCCAGTAGCTTCCTGGTATAATAGGCTACCAAATTAGTTGAAACAAAGGAACTTGACCCACTTTGACGGTCACTGGGGTCAAATGATAAAAACTATTTCAGCGAGTGATAGTATTTGGTCCGTGGTATGCAGGATTGAAGGCCTACCGAATTTGTTCAAATGAATGAGTTTCATCCATATTAACGAAAACTCTGAATAACCAAGAGGCACATGGTGATGATATTTAGCTAGAAGCATGCAGGGATGAAGGGCTTTACCATTTGTCCAATATGCATACACTACACGCATGTATCTTATACACAGGGGGGGGGGGGGGGGGGGGGGAGCGCTCATTAAATGGTTATGACTGTTGATAGGACGTTAAACAATACTAAACCAAACCAATCCAAACCAAACCAATGTACATCGGATATTCAGAAGCGGTTGAAGGTGTACAGTTATTTGACCACTGTGACCTTGACAGTATATGTAGGGCAAGGGCATATTCATATGCAAATGATGTTAAACTCTAACACATGATGCTGGTGGGGGAATAGAAGCATGACATTACACGTTTCCAATATGTGTTTAAAAGGTTTTGTTTGTAAGTGCCTATTTGTTCCATAATAATTCTAACCAAAGTTTGGAGTATTTCAATGCAAAAATAAACGAAATATACTTAAACGTGCAACTTATAAAATAAACAATATAGTAAAGCTTTAGGCTGACCTTGGGGTCATGAAATTCACAAAACATTTTTGTTATTGTTCATTAAAAACACATCACGTTCACATCCAGATCACTTTTACATTCCCTTTCATTTATATTAACCATCATCATCAGCATGCATCACATTCATCATCTTTAATATCATCATCATCATTATTGAAATCATCATTATTCATCATTGAAATAATCATCATCAACAATAAATAATAATTTTCATCAAAATTATCATCAATCTCACCATCCCGAGTGCGTCCTTTACATCAGCATCATAATAATCAACGTCTTATACCTTTGAACCTGTACATTTCCATCCATGAGAACTAGTCGATTGCAATAGGTGCAGCAGTTTTGGAGACTTAGTCAAAAATGGGAATTGTTTATGGACGCACGACAGACATATGACTTTGAAAGTATAAGTCAATGTCATTTTCATTCGCAAACCTCATCGGGTTCCATTATAGGATGCTACTGGATAAATATCGTGACTTTATGGGAAAAAACACCATATAGACTGGGAGTCGATGCTAACAATTATTTTTGACTCCATACAGCCACTGAAAATGTGTTTTGACATTGCTATTAAAATTCTGAGATGTCCAGTATGCATGATCTTCAATGGCCAGCATGTAACGTCATGATCACTTTTAAACAGACAATTTTCAAATCAGAATATTTCAATAAAAAAAAATAATGTCCCTTAAAAAATGGAATGGAGTAATTACAAACACAAATATTTGTAATTACTCCATTCCAAATATTTCTATGAAATTTGTTTGTTTAGAGTTCTGCATCATTGCAACACAACAGAAAAGAAAGTCATAGGAACAAAATAGATAGAATTACAAAATATCCCAATATGGACGGTAGACCGACTTTTGTTATTTATATGAGTGATTTAATATCGCTAGTGCTTGATTTGCAAGTATCCTGAGGTGCTTTGAAAACAAGAAACCCCGAGCAGATTCATTGCGGCAGGGTTCAACATGGGGTTAGGGCAACTTAGGGGAGACCGGGGCAAATTTGGCACTGGGGTCACTCCTGATATTTTTGGTCTTGAACAAATATTTACAATTTTGAGGATCTTAGCAGTGCAGTTCACTGGGCAGGATGTTCATACGAAAAAATGGCGGGAACACAATAATTGAAGATTACTCAAATATTTTTTGGGAGGGTAGAAAGAAATGCATAACCTCACAGCTTTTTGTAAACCGAAATGCTACTTATTATTGTCATACGTGTAACAAACCGACAGCTTCAAATAATGGTATGCATTAAGCCTAGCATTGAGTTTCGTATTGATATGATAAACATATATCTTAAAATATCAATTTGGGGCAGGCTCGGCCCGTGCCATACACGGTAAACCGAAGGGCATGGCATTTCTCTTCCGAATAGTAGAAATACACATACATTTTAAGAAATGCTGTCCAGAACGACTTCCATGAAGGTGGACCAAACTTGCCCCTGTCTAACCGATATTTTGAAAGAAAAACCTACATAAAATGAAACGGTTACATTATGAAGAAAACTGTATTTGTGCCCGCTGACTAGGTATCACCTATTTCATAGTAGTGATATACTATAATCGTGTTCTTGTTCAATCTGAACAGTCTCGGACCGTCATCTGTCTGTCGGGTCTCGCTCAGCGCGTGCCCATATCTCGCAGCCTCATTCCAAGGTCGCACAAACCCAATACACACACACAGAGTTAGGAACCCGGGCCAACAATCAAAACAACATTACAGGTTCTTACATAGATAATATGGCTTGACTTGTTTCAATAGCCTTGTTAGCTTTATAAATTATTGTAAAATATCCTATAAAATTACATGCCATCATTCTTGAGATTTGAAGCATTTTCTGTGTGTTTTGTATTTTGTATTTTATATTTTTTAATTGTCAAATATTTACATTAATATACAATACAGTTACAATGTATACATAATATGACATAACACAAACATATATATATATATGACACGCATATTCAATCATTAACATACAAATACTTGTACAATTATCAGAAAGGAAAGGTAGGATTCTTGAAAATTTGTAGTATATTTTGAATTTCTCTGTAAGCTACAGTGTGAGCGTAATCAATATATACGTTTACACAATATAACAGTGATATGTATCAATAGATAAGTTACTTATGGTAAATCGGTCCATATTTCAAGTTTGGGTGTTTTAAAAATAAGATTTGCCATTAGGTCCATTCTCTTTGAAACTTGTTTAAGTAGATTTCTCCCTAAATTCTAGCAATGTATTTTTGAGTTGTATATCGTTCTTTTAGTGTATCTTTAGGGCCATAATGCAGAGTTTATTCTGGAAGCACATTGATCTTTAGTTGTATTGTTTTATTGTAAAGATGATCATAGCATCCACGTTTCTGTTTAATCAATTCTGACGATATGTACCAACAAGAGTTGTTATTAAATTCAAATGGAATGAACAGATAATTCAACAAATTTTCTAAATTTACAAGTAAACTGTAAACTTGTATAGTTTCAATTTCTGTTTTACAAATGTTACAATAAGGACTGTCTACTAACCCAACTTTAAATAAATACGAATGTGTTGTTACAATATGAGGATTAACCCTTAATTGGCACCGTTGCAATTTTGTATTTTTTTGTTACAGAGAAAGGGAGTTTGAAAACTTTCATAATATTCAAATTGTTCATCTGATTTTTTTATTCCATTTTCGCAATTATATCATTTTTTCTTAGTACATTATACAAATCTTTTGTACGTTTCTGTTTTTTAGCAAATATTTGTAAATTTCTTGGAATAAAAGGATACTCTTTTTTTTGGATTGGTTAAGTTACACCGACTGCAAAGCTCCGTTTTAGCTGTAACAATTCCATGGTATTGTAAGGAAATTTGCTCTAACACCAAATATTTCTCCGAATTAAAAAAAAAGCCGTTGTTGTTATCCTTTTTTGAGTCATTAACTACTACAACTTCATTCCTATACCAATCTTTATAAAAACACTATTATTATCTATTTTGATTTTTTCGTTAAACCATAAAGGCATGTCAGATATCTGTTTCGATTCGGTATATTTTTTCCTCAAAAACGGTTAGATTTTCCATGCAAGAAAGACATCTTTTCAGAAGAGATTTTTACAGTTATTATCACAAAAGGAAATTTAGTCTGATCCACAATTTATAAGAAGGTTTTTATCAATAGTTGAATTAAAAATAATTTGCAATATTCCTGTTGTTGAGAGTAATCTCCCAATCCAAGATAGTCTATAAATGATTTAATAAATCATTTTGAGACCACCATCAGAAAAAACCCATTAAGTAATTACATTTCTTTTAATTTATCAATCTTAGTATTCCAGAGGAAGTTATATATTTCTGTATTTATCTTTTTGACAAATGTATTATCAGGATTTGGTAAAGCAATAAATAAGTGATTCAATTGAGAAATTATGACAGACTTTATTATATTTATACTCCCTATTTGTGTAAGCATTCTCCTACTACAAGTCTTCATCAAAGCTTACAAGTTTTACTAGTTTTTTTTATCAAAATCTATTTTTGGGATACGATGTAGATCAACATGAAAATCAATGCCAAGAAGTGTAAACCTTGTATGTCCCCACTGTAAATTCCATTTAATAGCCTTAACCTCATAACTTTATTTTTTACTCCCTATCCAAACTACTTCGGTTTTCCTTGAAATCATTTTTAATCCTGTTATTTTTTCAAAGTAATTCGGTTCTTTTATATATTCCCTAAGTGATGCTACTGATCCGTCCAGAATTAAAGATGTGTCGTCTGCGTTTTGTGAAAGCAAATAGGTTGTTCAGCTTCAAGTAATTTTAAACCTTTAATATTCTAGTTATTTCTTATTTTGATTGCCACAATTTCTGAACAGAGAATGAAAGATTTAAAGTGATATCGGATATCGGATCGCCTTGGCGGAAACCCCTTTTTTATCGAAGAAAAAATAATTTCTGCAAAGGTCTTTTTTGACAATGTTCTTGACATGGGTATACCAAGCAACTTCCATATTTTTTTTCATTTTGAGAAAAGTTATGAGCCCTTTTCAAACTATTTCACTAATATGACGCTGTAAGACATACCTCAATAGGACGTTAAACAAAATAAAACCAAACCAAAGAAATGGCTTAATAAAATTACGATATTTGCAACGAATAGTGAATAGTCCGTTAAATGGTCGATGACAGTTTCTTGTTTTAATTTTTCATAATACTATATCAATACAGAGTGTCCGTATAAAATTTTGAAATACGAAGTGTCCAAAAAAGACTATGGACGTTTGGACTACAATGCCGAGATTGCGCGTAGAATACACTCAAAAATACCGGTTGCGGATCTAGATGTACCAGACATCATCATAGATGATTGCTTTACATTTCTGGTAATAATTCCGAATGCAAGCAAACATTCTGAACTCATCGGCGAGGAGCATGTGACGGACATTACGAAAGGTATGCCATATCTTTATATTTCCCTTTTACTGTATTTTCTCATCGTACCATGATCATTTTTTTCTGTTAGAATTGTGTGTTTGTCAGAATGTACATGCAGGTTTCATTGCTCATGTATATATGTATATATATTTTGTGCAAGGGACAGAACAATCATCATCTAAATCTGAATTTTGAGAAATGATCTCATTATTCGATTTCATCATTCATCAGTTATAAGTTAATCTCAGTTTGTGCACTCCCTGCACTTTTCCTGCTCCACATTTGCACAGATTGAAAAGTTAAAAAGTCATCATTATATTCAGCCTACATTTACTTGCACTTCATTTCATATATTGCGTCATGTAAAGACGATACTAAGTACTTATAAACCAATGCAAGGATAGCGTTCACTGTTATATTTCCTTGTTCACCATGCATGTGATTCTTTTTTATTGATATTCATATACTGGCCTGAAGAACATTTCTTACCAACATGGGAATTGCTCAAACATAATCTTCGGGGTACATGGTACATGGCGACATGGCAGAGACCAACATTGAGCTGCTGCTCTCATTGCAATACTTGAGATCTAGTGTTGTATATAAAAGTATTGTATATTATGTTCACTTGGAACATCACATGTTTATGTTTTGTCGTCAAAGTTTTTCAAGTGACCAAAAAGAGGCTACCTGCCTGCTCATACAGAACTCCTGAGCTATCCGGGCAATAAATGGACTGCCTTCGGAATACGTAATATTTACATACATGTACACACTGTACAACAAATACTCTTTGTCTTATTTAGTCTTAGTGACAAAGAAAACAGTACATTTACAGATGGCTAGAATTATCCGCCGTGACGGAAATACGGGTTCCATGAAACCACTTATAACAATAGTCGCACTGTATCATAAGGGTTCCGATGTCTAATGCAGTGTCTTCCAACTTTTCTGCCTCCGTTCCTCGACAGCCTTAGCTAACCACTCTGGAACAACACGATCCAGATACTTTTTAAGTCGGTCATGGTTTATAACCGACACTGGTTTTAACAGAGGAACTCGGTAGACATAGGGAGATAGCATTTCTACAAGAACCCCTGGTTCCACCATGAGGGTTGGAGTTCTGCCCTTCTAAGTGATAATTATCAGCACACAAACCTTGTCACCTACCTTTAATGATGTCTTGTTTAACTCGTATGTCGAAGTCATGTTTCATGTTTTTTTAATGGTTTTGAGGACCGTCCTAGCGGTCTCATTCGCAGCTTAAATTGCTTCTTCCAGTTTCCCTTCATACTCTTCCAAATTAGTTTGCTGATTATTGGCGGGGGTCGATAAAGGAGATCATCTGGTTGGTTTAACTCCCGTGGCAGCATCAATGTATTGGCTATGTAGCCTGTCTGGCGATTCACAGAGCTCCAGCCGGCCAACTTGGGTAGATATACATCCTACTAATTACAACATATTTTTCCTGTCTTCTTTCTTTTCTATCAACATTCTCCCACGGCACCCGACCTCATATGACCCTGGTGCGAGGGCGTTGAACCCCAAACAAACAAACCGAGGTACAGACCAAGTTTGGTTCGGACTGCCTGGGTTAACAAGCAATTCAACAAAACGTTTGTCTCTGCACTGCAACTCAACTCAGTTTACATGTACATTTGTTTTATATCAGAATGGTCCGGAACAGAGAAGAAAGGGAAGAGGTGGATTAGTCTGTTGTCGCGGAGGGCTACACCCATCGAGGTAAATAATTTTATAAGAGCAATGATAATCAATTTTTGTGATAATGGGGACAGTTACATAGTCAATCATTCTATAGCGGCCCTTTTTAGCTTACCTAGCCCAAATACCAAGTGAGCTTATACCGTGGTCCGACGTAAACAATTTGCTGTAAACGACATTTTATTGATAATCAAAAGGCCTAGGGTTATGCTAATTGGTCAGTAGAAGAATGGGGAAGGGGGCCGTCAAGTTTGTGCAAAGGAATTATCTTGACCCATATTCAAGGTCACAGGGATCAACTTCTAAGGAATAATTAAAAAGGCTAGGGTGATTATAAGTGGCCAGTCATATACAAGAATGAAGGGCCATCAACTTGGTGCAAATGAATGACCTTCACCTATGTTCAAGGTTTTCCTATGATCATTTAGGGTAAAATAACACGTTAAAATAGGCTATCACAAAAATGAATACATCTAACTAGAAATGAATTTCGATTAGATGTAAAAACAATCACATTGATTGAACAGACACTATCAAATAAACTGTTCATACACTATACATTATAGAATCTGTCACGTTTTTGTTTGAAATCAGCGCATTCAATCGTAAAATATTTGACTGCAAATGGCTAAACACATGCATGACAACAAGGTTGCTCTTCTTTATGTAAATTATAACTGTGTGTGATGTAGGTATGGCCTATGCGCAGTCGCGAGAGGACAACTTCCTCTCTACGGCCCGGTCCATCTGCCGCACATGAACCTACGTTGGGTTGAACTAAGAATAATTTGTTGTTCACCGTTTCAAACCATTTATTTTGCCAATTCGTTCAAATAAAATTCACAATTAAAGGTTTAAAATCACTATAGGGTATTTTTAATATCTATTGGATGTAGATTTAGAGCTTGTTTGGCAACTCTATCTACTCTCTCATTTCAAGGTCACAAGGGTCAAAATTAGAGAAAAAAGCCAAGGGAGAGAGGATGTTTGGCCAGTAACATGTTAGAATGAATAGCCATCAATTTATTCAAATGAATGACCTTGATCCATATTCAAGGTTGCAAGGGCAAATGCGTTGAAAACCCTGAAACAACCAGAGGACATAAAATACACCAACATGCCCTGTCTCCTGCACTCGCACACACACGCAAGCACAAACATTACCAAATCCTTGAAAAAGTTTTGTTCAAATGAATTACCTTTGCCCATATTCAAAGTCAATAAACAAGAGGCATTGGGGTGTTGGTATTTTGCAATTAGAAAGCTACGATAAAGGGTAAGAGTAAAGCAAATTGCACACATGAAGGCATATCCTTGAATGACCTTAGCTGTTTATAGTACGTTTAATCCTATAAAACAAAAACTAATGTCGATCATCTATTAAGAAATCTGTTGGGAAACATTTTCATAAATAGCTTGAAAAAATCTTGAAGTAATTAAAAGAACTTTGTCCATTGCCTTCCCATTCGAACCTTGCAACTAACCTTTTCCCCATGATTTCCATCAACAGATCACAGAAGAATCAGCGGTGCTTTTTCTTGCGGATAAACCTGAGGAAGACTTGAAGAATAACTCGAAGGTTTGCAAATTCCTTACGTTTTCCTTTGAAAACGAAATATTTGCTTACGCTGAACGAGCTTTACAGTATGTCCAAGACCAACTTGCTAAGAAAAGGGAACACAAACAAGAGACGTTGAGCTATACCAGGCTGGAGATTTATTCTCTTCTTGCTAGAAAACTACCGGACCACGATACACCTATCAAACAGTCGTAAGTCTATTCTATCAAATTTTGTTTCTCTTAGCAGAAATATCGATCAATGCCCCTTATGCTTAAAGATTAAATGTTAAACCCACGTATTTTCCAACGATACCAACTAAATAATGTCATTAAATCTGGACCGAATCGATTTATTTATTGAAAAACTTAAACTTAATAGCCTTTTCTTCAATATTTGTAGGCAAATGTCATTAACCTATTGATTTCGATCATTCGAAAGTTGTTTGAATAATTTAAACGTTTTTTTACTTGACTTTTTTTTAAAGTCACATGTGTCAAAAATGTTAAAACCTTTAAACAACTTCTGAAAAACCTAAGGTGCAAGGCTGATTATATTTGGGCAGTAGCATGCTTTGATGAATGGCTACTAAGTTTGTTCAAATGAATACTTTTCACTTGTATTCAAGATCGCAGGGTTGTTTGAATAAATATGTATGTGAACTTTTTCGGAAACCAAAATACCCAGGATGATAATATTTTGCCAGTAGCATACAGGGATCAAGAGCTACCAAGTTTTTACTTTTTCGCCCATATTCAAGATTATAGGGGTTAAATATGTCTTTCAAACGACATCTTCTGAATAAGCAGAAGACCAAGAATGTTGATATCTGGCCAGTGGCATGCTTAGATGAAGAATTACCAAGTTTGTTGGTTTTATTGAACTTCACCTATATTCAAGGTCACATAGATAACATGTCGAAAAATCTCTTTAAATAATTTCTTCTGAATAACCAAGCGGCCTAGGATGATATGTGGCCAGTTACATGTTCAGACAAATACTATGATGTTTGTCCTTATGAAGATCATGTGGGTAAAATGTTTGGTTTGGTTTTATTTTGTTTAAAGTCCTATTAACAGCTAAGGTCATTTAAGGACGGCCTCCTCAAGATGCATGCGTGAAGTGTATGCCTGTGTGTTTTGGGAGGCTGCAATATGTTCGTGTCTGTCTCCTTGTGATAGCGCGCAACTTTATAGTTCTACCTCACCGAACCATACTGCCGAAGACACCCACCCCACCCGGTCACATTCTACTGACAACGGGCGAACCAGTCGTCCCACTCCTAATTTGCTGAGCGTTAAGCAGGAGTAGAAACTGTGTTGTCATGAACTACTGCTTGTCATGAAAAATGGTTACATGACAATAACCAAATGCATAGGGCGGTGATATTTTCCCAGTACACCCCACCTTTTCGGGAAAAGAATACACCAGCTGAATGTATCGTAGGAGGCGACTAATGCTTGAACCCTCTGCATAATTGGGGATTTGGTTTTGTGTCCTAAAAGCAATATGCTGCACCCATTGCAACATTTGGGATCTATATCTTTCCTATTTTTCCTAGCGCCTTACTTGGCAACACCTCACTTATGGCCTTGATGTTGAGCGTTCGCCAATGCGAGGAAGGCAATGGGTTCTGTCCCCAGGCCGGGACATACTAAAGTCCTTAAAAATGGTAGTTGTTATTCCCTGCTTAACGTTCAACAACTGGTTCACACCTTCAGCATGGTATTTCAGTGAGATAGCTCTATAAAGTCGGCATCAGATCCGCGCTATTACAAGAAGGCAAGCACGCCAACATACCCGTGTCTCCTGCATACACTACACACACGGAGGTACGTCCTTAAATGACCTTAGCTGTTAATAGGACGTTTAACAAAATTAAACCCAAACTTGTCCCAGTAGCATGCTCAGATGAAGAGATACAAAATGTATTAGGTTTGTTATGTGAATCTGTTCAAAAGGGTAAAAACACTTAAATGACCTTATCTCAATAAACAAATAGCTTAGATTGATAATACTTTGCAAGTTGCATGCTGAGATAAAGGGCTATAACGTTTGTTCAACTTAATGACCTTGTTAGAATTGCTCAGCGTTAAGCAGGAGTAAAAATTACCATTTTTACAGGCTTTGGTATGTCTCGGCCAGGGGACAGAACCCAAAGCCTTGCTCACAGGGGCGAACGCTCAACTAAAGGTCACAGGTGAGGCATTGTCAAGGGAGACATTAGGAAGTCGCTTAGAAAGAAGAGAAAATAAGATCCCAAATTTAGTCGCTTCTTACGATCATTCAATGCGGNTGCTGTTACCTTGATGGCCACAGTCATCTTTTTGAGTAGTAGCATGGTTCATGATATACACACTTTTCTAATGATTCATATAATTTTAAAGTGGTGATTGCAAATTTTAACCGCTCGAAAATTGGCTCAAAGCTACCCGGAACGACTAAATTCATATATATTTAAAGTGACAATACTAAGGATGAATCTTTGTTAATAATATCCTTTTTCATCTATGCCATATTTATTTACTATAACATCAAGTATGAGGTATAATGCAAGATGGTCGTCATGGCTTCTGATTTTGTCGAGACATTTTCAACTTCTCGAGAAAACCTAAATCAATTTACTTAAAATTTGAAAAACTTTCCTATTTCCTATGACAATTGTTTTTACTTTTCGTGCCGATCTGATAATCAAAATGACAACCCTACCGTCTGATAAGTCGAGACTCTTTTGACTGTTTTACAAGAACTGATAAAACAGCCGACTCAAAATGTGGTAAAATGTTCTTTATGACGTCCCAAAACAAGTGTCGGTACTATAATGTCTCCTTTGACAATGCCTCACTTTTGGTCTTTATTTGAGCGTTCCTGTGATGAAGGCTGTGTGTTCTGTCTCCTGGCTGAGACATACCAGAGTCTGTCAAAATGGTAGTTTCTACTCCTGCTGAACGCTCAGCAATTTAGGAGGTGGACGACTGGATCGCCCGTTGTCAGTATAATGTGATCGGATGGGGTGTCATGCACTATAGGTAGCACTATAAAGTCGGAATCACTACCGCACTATCACAAGGAGACAAACACGAGCACATGCATGCATCTTGCACACAGGGGAGGTCGTTCTTAAATGACAATAGCTGTTGATAGGACGTTAAACAATACTAAACCAAACCAAACCGTATTTGTGCATGTTTAATTTTGAGACTGATCGGATAAACAAAATGGCCGACACGCAGTCATCTTTAGTTTGACAGTATAGGATTGTTATTGCTATATGTCGGAAAACAATTAAGGGATATTTCTCAAATTTCATATTGAGACTCGATCTTAAATAATATGGCCGTCAGGCAGCCATCTTATATTTTGAATATTTTTTTATCGCTATAAATTCCATGTGAATGTTCCCCTTGGTTCATAATCATGTATGTATTATTTTGAGACTGTTTAAAAAAACACGATAGTTGCTGTCATCTTGGATTTTGACATTTTAGGAATATTATCACTATTTCTAAGGACAGATCTTTCATATATTGCGATAGTAGTGTACAAGTTAATATGTAAAACGACAAACTATTTTTGAATGTTGTCTTTTATACACAGCAGTATAAAGTTTCAAACAAAAGTTTCATTTATTGTTAACATGACTCGATCTTACAGATAAGAGAAAAAAAAGAGAGAAAGTTTCGAACTGACAAAGGACTTACTTAAAGATAGTACGATGGTGGGCGCCCAGATCCCTCTGGGATCTCTTGTTAGGACCGATAACAAAACCAAGATGGCCGACAGGCAGCCATCTTAAATCAACGAGTTCAAGTTTGTTACCGCTATTTCTCAGAATGTTCAGTAAGGGTCTTTCTCAAATTTCACATGAAGGTTCCCTTTGATTCATAGTTCCGAATTTTGGGGATAATTGGAAAACTAAGATGGCCGGCAGGTGGGCATAATGAATTTAGGATTGGTTTGGTTTAATTTTGTTAAACGTCCTATTAACAGCTAAGGTCATTTAAGGACGTGCCTCAATGTGTGTAGTGTATGCGTGATTGCGTGTGTGTATATACAAGAGACAGGTCATGTTGGTGTGCTTGTGCGGTATGGTTTGGTTTAATATTGTTTAACGTCCTATCAACAGCTATGGTAATTTAAGGACGGCCTCCCATGTGTGCAAGATGTATGCATGTGTGTTTTGGGAGGCTGCGATATGTTCGTGTTTGTCTCCTTGTGATAGCGCGGATCTGATGCCGACTTTCTATGTCACTGAATACCATGCTGAAGGCACCCAGCATAGCATTCCGCGCGTTCACATTATACTGACAACGGGTAAACCAGTTTTTCCCATTTCCCTACATGCTGAACGTTAAAAAGAGAACAACAACGACCATTTTTAAGGACTTTGGTATGTCCCGGCCTGGGACCAGAACCCATTACCGTTCTCACCTGGGCAAACGCTCATTATTCAAGCAAAAAGTGTATAAGGAAATAAAAGGTAGTTGGGAGTAATAAAGCTTAGTTGGGAGTAATAAAGCTTTTTAGTGGTATTGCTCAAAAAGAACTGGAGGGATCTTTCGCAAATTTCACATAAGCGTTCCTCTTTGTTTTGATTATGAACATCAAAGTTTTGGACTGATTATGAAAACAAAGATGCTGACAGGCAGCCATCTTGTTACAGTTAAAGTTTGTTGTCACTATTTCCCAAAAGCAATGGAGGAATGTTCCTCAAATTTGATATGTAGGTTCTCCGTGGTCCTTAGTTGTGCATGTTTTCTTTTGAAATTGATCAAAAGACTGATTAAAAAGGCGGACAGGCAAACTGATCGACCAGATAAGAGAAATGAAGAGAAAAGATCAAACTGACATAGAACTAATAAAGAAATTTGATATGTAGGTTCACCGTGATCCTTAGTTGTGCATGTTAACTTTTGAGGTTGATCAAAAGACTGATTAAAAAGGCGGACAGGCAAACTGATCGACCAGATAAGAGAAATGAAGAGAAAAGATCAAACTGACATAGAACTAATAAAGAAATTTGATATGTAGGTTCACCGTGATCCTTAGTTGTGCATGTTAACTTTTGAGGTTGATCAAAAGACTGATTAAAAAGGCGGACAGGCAAACTGATCGACCAGATAAGAGAAATGAAGAGAAAAGATCAAACTGACATAGAACTAATAAAGAAATTTGATATGTAGGTTCACCGTGATCCTTAGTTGTGCATGTTAACTTTTGAGGTTGATCAAAAGACTGATTAAAAAGGCGGACAGGCAAACTGATCGACCAGATAAGAGAAATGAAGAGAAAAGATCAAACTGACATAGAACTAATAAAGAAATTTGATATGTAGGTTCACCGTGATCCTTAGTTGTGCATGTTAACTTTTGAGGTTGATCAAAAGACTGATTAAAAAGGCGGACAGGCAAACTGATCGACCAGATAAGAGAAATGAAGAGAAAAGATCAAACTGACATAAAACTAATAAAGAAATTTGATATGTAGGTTCACCGTGATCCTTAGTTGTGCATGTTTTCTTTTGAAATTGATCAAAAGACTGATTTAAAAGGCGGACAGGCAAACTGATCGACCAGATAAGAGAGATGAAGAGAAAAGATCAAACTGACATAGAACTAATAAAGAAATTTGATATGTTGGTTCACCGTGATCCTTAGTTGTGCATGTTAACTTTTGAGGTTGATCAAAAGACTGATTAAAATGGCGGACAGACAAACTGATCGACCAGATAAGAAAAAATGAAGAGAAAAGTTCAAACTGACACAGAACTAACAAAGATTGTACGATGGTGGGCAATACGATCCCTCTGGGAAATCTTGTTTACTGGAGCTTTAGGTCAAAGAGGTAAAAATATTGGAATGAATGGGTAGACAACAACTTACACTGTGTCAAACCGAAAATCGGTGAATGGTATTCAAGATATAGAGGAAACCGCCGAGACGTGGTTGTCCTTGCCCGCCACCGGATTGGTCATTCATAAATAACCTGTTCTTATTTATTGAAAAACGTAGACCAGCCTCAATGAATGGTATATCGCGAATCATTAACAGTTAAACACTTGTTACTAGATTGTATAAACCTTCAGCAAACAACAGATTTCTTTTCTAATAATATAAAAGATCTTAAATCTCGTCAAAACATTCAGTATCTCTACAAGTCATGCCTACCTTTATACTGTTGGTCAGTTCAAAACGACCTCTTAAGAGTTGATTGGCTGTTCAGAATTCAATATGATTATGGTAATGTTGAAGCATCATTTGGCGCGATTGTATTGTTATGCTGTAATTTGGCTTTTTGTTTAGTGTGCAGGATTGTGGTATCCGGGGCTTCTGCAACACTATTGACGGATTCTTAGTTCTTGTTGCCGAACCAAAACGAAAAGCTGACAAGACACGCATTGCAGATAGTATCGAAAAAAGTTTGCGGAAACTGCTGAAAGAGAAACCTAAATTGGTATGGGTTAACAAAATAACAATGGCTGATCTTACTGCTCAAGGTTGTAAACTTACCAACACAGAGACAAATCACTGGGGAACCCTAGGCTGTTTCGGCAAAGACCCTGGCAATTCGTTGGTAGCAATAACCGCTGGGCATTGTGTAGAGAAAGATCAAATCGTCCAAATAGAAAACAACGGCACTTCGGAGGAATTCGGGCGGTGTGTACAAAGTCACAATTCGACTGAATTCGACATTGCGGTCATTAACATTAACGATAGCATGGAACCTCGTTGCACATTTAAATTTCGTAATGAAAAGGACGAAGTGTGCAAGGCGTCCGTATATCAGGGGGATCAAATCAGGAACTGGCCGGTACATAAAATAGGAGCTGCAACTCAATGGACTAAGGGCGTTGTATACTGCGGGGAGGCTCGCGTGTGTGACGATATTGGAATCATCATTGTAAACGTGAACGACATCGTCTTCGCAGAAGAGGGCGACAGTGGAGCTATCGTGTTCTTCTATGATCCAAACGACATACATAACAGGGAGGTGAAGCTGCTATCCATAGTATCAAAAAATGTCACTGTGGAAAAAAAAGGCACCATTCCAGTTGGACTTTCTAGAAAACCAACATTGACTCGAAGCTTGAAAGATGGACTCGATAAAGTCCCCAATATCATAATAGAATATGAAAGGGATTGAAAAGACAAACTCTGGAGGTAAAAGGAAACCTTTTTCATTACATACTGACTATGATATTTATTTGGGAGAAATATTTATCGATTTTGTTTTGTTTTGATTGATTTGGACAGTTAATTAGGAAGAACGAGAAACGGACTGAAATTAAGATACTTTTTTGTATATCTAACATTTGGTTTATATACAAAATACTACGGTATAAACATCAGACCTACCCATGCAAGCACATGCATTTGTTAAAGGAATACTTCCCATCTGTCAATCATATATACACAAAGTTGGAGGGACGATAGTCTAGTGACCGAAGGGTTGCGGGTTCAAGTTACGTCACGGCACTGTGTTGTATATTTGAACAAGATACTTTACTCCACTTGTTTTAGTTTACTCAGCTGTAAATGAGTAAGTGGCTGGGCAGTGCTAGAGTTGTTAAATGCTAGCTGTGAGCGCCTAAATGGCAGGTGATAAAGCGGTAAGTAGGAACCTCAAATTTTAGTTTTAATTTTAAAACCCAAGAAATGCAAGATTTGTCATTTCCAGACCATATATCAGAAACTGTGACAGATAATTTTACAAAACTTTCTTATTACATGAACTTAATTGTTTAGAAGTGGTGGGGGATTTTTATCTTTATCTCCTTATTTTAACACTTTTATTCATAATGACAGTGTTTTTAGCACAAAGTCACAACAACTGAACTGTTATCTGTATTTAGACATGCATCCAACATTCAGATATATCAAAAAGTAAGTGTTTATAGACATTTTGTTTTATTCCGAATGCATGTCTTAATAAAAGATAACAGTTTTGTGACTTTTGTACCAATAAATATAGTAACATATAACTATAAGTGTTAAAAAAGTATGAAGAAAATCCCCCTCCTCTCTATTCTTTTGACCCCCATTTATTGAGATTTTATTAAGATATTATAAATACAACATGTTACACATTATATCAAAGTTATGAAGAAACTTTCAAAATATAATATGTAATTTTGTCAAAACGAGACCATTTATGATTTTGGTCCCCCACTTTACCCTCTCATATCTCGGAATGGTCTCCGAGCTGACCTTAATTTTGTTTTATATCATGATAGCATAACCCTAAGGTATGTATATACAAAACATAAACTTATCGGTGATAGCCACCAAAAGGCCCAAATGCACACCCCTCCTTTGAGAAAAATCTTTCAAGTATTTCGAAAATAGCGAAAACGAACAAACACTGTCAAATATCCAAGATAACCATATATGCCATTGTTTTTATCCGAACCACCTCAAAGTTAATCATGTTGAATAAGAAATGACAGGAACCTACATATGAAATTTGAGAAAAATCCCGAGAAAAAGCGATAACTAACATTCCATGTCAAAATGCAAGATGGCCATCTCTCGGCATTTATGTTAAACAGAACCATCTCAAAATAAAACATGCACAACAAGAAATCAAGGGTAACCTACATATCAAACTTAAGAAAGGTCCCAGCAATAGAATAACAACATTCACTCTCAAAATATAAGATGGCTGCCTGTCGGCCATTTCTTTTATTCAATTATGTAGTCTCAATCGTTTACATGCACAATTTTAGACCAAATGGAACCTACCTTAACTTGAGCCAGATCCCTCTAGATCTTAAGAAATAGCGATAACAAACCTTCACTATGAAAATCCGAGATGGCTGTCTGTCGGCCATTTTGTTTGGCTGATCAGTCTCAAAACATAATATGCACAATTTGACCAAGGAAAACCTTAATATCGAATTTGAGAAAGATCCCCTCAGAAATAGCAATAACAAGAATTGTTAAAGGACGGACGGACCACGGACGAACGGCAATTTGAATAGAAAAAAGATACCTGTAGACTTCAAGGTTACAGCAAACTTCGGGGACTAAAAAACCCACCATCATGATGAAGCAAAGTTGATCAGAATTAAACAAGGAGTCAATTGACCAAAGTTCAAGGTCACTGGGTCAAAGGTGAAGGTTACATTTTGTATCTTTTCCCTGATGAACATTTCGTTATGACATTATGCAGCAATGTTGGTCAGAATTAAACAAGAAGTTAATTGACCCAAGGCCAAAGGTCACGGTCAAATTTTGTATCTTTTCCCTGATGAACATTTTGTTATGACTTTATGAAGCAAAGTTGGTCGGAATTTAACAAAGGGTCAACTGACTTAAGGGACTCGGTCAAAGGTCAAGGTAAAAATAAGTATTTTTTTTGCTGGGGAACATTTCATTATGACACTTTGAAGCAATGTTTGTGGGAATTAAACAAGGATTCATTTGACCAAAGGGCAAGGTCACTTGGTCAAAGGTCAAGGTCAAATTGTGTATCTTTTCACTGATGAACATTTTGTTATGACATTATGTAGCAAAGTTGGTCCGAATTTGAAAAGGCGTCAACTGACTTAAGGTCAAGGTCATGTGGTCAATGTCAAGGTCAATTATTGTATTTTTTTACTTATGAACTTTTTTTTATGTTATCATGTAGCAAACTTGTTCAGAACTTAACCCAGAGTCAACTGACCTTAGGTCCAGGTTACGGGGTCCAAAGGGTCAAGGTTTGTATTTTTCACTGATGAATATTTTGTTATGATATTATGAAGCAAAGTTGGTCGGAATTAAAGAATGAGTCAACTGACCAAAGATCAGGGTCACTGGGTTAATGGTCAAGGTCATTTGATTCCAAAGGTCAAAGACAAAGTGGATCTCTGACTTTGACTCTGGCTCTTGATGGAGGAGGTATATAAGGTGAAATAAAACAAATCAAAGCTAACAAATGAGCATTGCACCGGTATTTCTTGGGTCGATCAGAAATCAAATATGGCCGCCACGGCCGTCATTTTGAAACACTATATCAAACTTAAAGTCAAGTTATACTGGGCCCATTTAACTGAAACTTGGTAGGAATGGTCGACTCATGGTCCTTACAAACTTAACCTAAAGTTATACTTACCTATTTTTACTCAAATTTTGTAAGGGATGATTGACATCATTATTTCCACTTCATATTCTAACAGCAAAGATTAATACTGTAGGACTCGGGTGACTGTTACAGCCCATGGGCCTCTTGTTTGTGAATCTTACAAAACATGTTTCTACTATACCAATGGCGGGGTTTAGACCAAATTTGTTCTAGAGCATATTTAGGCAAAGGGGACCTATTTGTGCATAAATGGAGGTTGTGACACCCCCTCCCCCGACACACAAATACAAGTTAACATAGATCTTTCTTTCTTTCTTTATTTTGTAATGCAGTTATATCCATTTGGCTATCAATAATAAGACAAGACATTGGTTTTTAATAAAGTCAGTATTTAATCTGTGTTAACTATATTGTAAATGTTAAGTTACAATGTACATATTGTTTGTTTGATGGACATGTAGGTCAAGTGTCATAATAATACATGCTTACCCTGGATTGTATACCAGCTTAGTGGTGTAATAGCATGTATACGCTGTCTGTGTGTTATTAACGATGCATATTTATGCTGAGGACCGTTTATACAGATTAAAATCTTCTTATTGTCGTAGGGTCAGTTATATCTTCGTTTAACATGCATGTGCTATCATCAAACTGCTTTCTGATTATTTTTGTAGTTTCAATGTATATAGTTTTGCTGCATAATCCTACTTTTTCTACTAGCATGCTTTTTACCTTGTTATTACTCTGTTTTTATACGACTACGTGTCACCATGTTAGTCAGAGGTATGCTGTATATCTGAATTGGTTTATTGGTTTAATGGTTTAATATTATTATTATAACCCGGACAAACTACTATGGTATGATTAGTATACGCGGACTAAATATTGTACCGATTTACCGACTGTCAATCATACTATTGTTTGTTTGATGGATATGTAGGTCAAGTGTCATAATAATACATACTTACCTTGTATTGTATACCAGCTTAGTGTTGAAATAGCATATATACGCTGTCTGTGTGTTATTTACGATGCATATTTATGCTGAGGACCGTTTATACAGATTAAATTCATATTATTGTCGTAGGGTCAGTTACATATCTTCGTTTAACATGCATGTGCTATCATCAAACTTCTTTTTGATTATTTTTGTAGTTCCAATGTATATAGTTTTGCTGCATAAACCTACGTTTTCTACTAGCATGTATTTTACCTTGTTAATATAACCTTGTTTTTATACGACTACGTGTCACCATGTTAGTCAGAGGTATGCTGTATATCTGAATTGGTTTATTGGTTTAATATTATTATAACGCGGACAAAGTACTATTGTATAATTATACGCGGACTAAATATTGCACCGATTGCATCGACCGTTCATACAACTTGTACCATTGAATGTTTGGGTTTTCTTTCGGTGCCAAATTGGCAGCAAATAAGTTTTAATTTGAGTGATTTCCTCACAGATGACAAGTTGGACAAAGGTTTAGAGTCAGAACAGAACCCCTAGGTTTTATACGCCCGTCGAATGCAAACGGTGTCCAGTTGATATCTCGAGAAGTTTCAACTGAATAACTTCAAACTTCATATGATAGCTCGGACAAGTTCGATAAAAGCATCTATCGGATTGTAATGTATGAAGTTATTGTTCTTTATTCAATTGCCAAAATTTTTTAACAGATTAAGTTCAAAACTGTAAAGGAAAGTTCATTGCAATGATAGCTTGAACAGGACTATAATTTAGACTTAGACAACATTAAATGTATGACAGGTATTTACGTCCCGCTTTTGCTGTACCTTTGTTGATAGTTTGAAAAATGTTAACAATGTGCTTGGAGTGCTGCGTAGTCCCACCCCGACCCCTTCCTGGTGAATTGGTATAAAACAGTATGTTTGTACTTCTGTCAGGGATATGGATTTGGAACTTGCAAGACGACACTCACGAAATTTTAACCTATTGACATCTCTAACTTTTGTCTGCTTGATCTTTAGAACCTTGATTTATTTACTATTGTTTGTCACTTTATTTTACTATTGTGGAATGTTTTGTCTAATGTATATACCATAAATAAATAAATTGTCTTTTAGCAACTTTAAGAATTATCGTCTTTCTTCAAACATTTAAGTACGTTTCTGCCATAGCAATGTTATATTTCGGACCGATCAGGTATCAAAAATTACCGCCATCTTGAACATTCCTTTGAAATTGCACTCTAATTCTTGGGGGAAAATAATATAATGAATCTGCATAGATGTATATGTTTTGATATTTTATCAGTTTTACTGCATAATGTTTCCATTTGCTAAATATTGAAACGGCATTTTGTGAGTTTACGCCATGACAACACATCGTCGTTTGTCTGTCCGTCGTAAACGTTTCCTTCAAACAACTACTACATAACTGAAAGACCTTGAATCATGATAATTGGTTGCTAGATGCCTT